AAATTAGGGTGAACTCAAGAAATTGATAGCCCCAATTAAAGGGTTGAATCTAGAGATAGTAAGACCCGACTTGAGCATTTATCACTTGTTTTGTGCGATACCCATTTGGACGTGAGAAAACCAAACTGAGCAAAACCATTCAAACTACCGAGAGGTGTATAGTGGGTAATTGCGTGTGATTGCTATATTATAACCCCGACCAATCAGGCTTGTCCTAGAGTTTTCAACTCATTAGGTAACCACCTAGGTGGAAGTCACGACCCTAGATCTTTTATAATTTGAAAAACAACCAAAACCAAAAATATTGTCTCCTAGTTTTATAATTGCAATCAATAGTTTAAAGTAGAAGTAGAAACAACAAATAAGAATGTGGAAGTATAATCTAAGGCATATTGTACAGTTACACTAAATATATACCTAATCCCAATTCTCACTCCTTGAGGATTCGACCCCGACTTGCATTGAGTTTTATTATTGCTTCGACCGCCTCACTACCTATATTTGTAGTGTGAGTTTAGGTGACATCAGAGGCCATCCTCCCAGGTCATTTCAATCTGCGCTTCAGGTATCTCATAGTGCTTCAGGGAGTCGTGGTCCTTATGTGCCTTATTCTGGGTAGCTAGCCTACAATGCACCATCAGTTCCTATCAGTGCGCCTCCAATTTAGAGCTATCACCTTGGTTATCCGGCCCGTTCGGGTCAGCGTCAGTTTCAGCAGCCACAACAGCAGGATGTGTGTTTTAAGTTTGGTGGTATTAGGCATATTAGGAGGTCCTATCCGAGATTATTGGGCGGCATAACACAGCAGAGTTCTCGTGCCATGATTCCAGCATCGGTTGCTCCACTGCCCGCTCAGCCAGCTAGGGGCAGGGGTCAGGCAGCCAGAGGTGGGGGTGAGGCCGTTAGAGGTGGAGGTCAGGCCGCTAGAGGTGGAGGCCAGCCAACTAGAGCCCGTCCCAAAGATGTAGTTCAGAGTGATGGGTCCTAGCCTCGATTTTATGCTTTCTCAACTAGGCCTGAGGATGACTCATCTGACGTTGTCATTCTATTTTGCTTCATATCTAGTTCTGCCTCGTGATTCTTTGAGTGCTCTTATGTATGTGTCCACACCTGTGGGAGATTCTATTATTGTAGATCATGTCTATCGTTCGTGTGTGGTTACTATTAGGAGTCTCGAGACAAGCGTAGATCTTCTACTTATTGATATGGTAGATTTTGACGTCATCTTGGGTGTGAATTAGTTGTCACCTTATCATGCTATATTGGATTGTCACGCCAAGACGGTGACATTAGCCTTTCAGAGGTTGCCTCGATTAGAGTGGAGGGGGACTCCTGGAAATTCTACCAGCAGGGTTATCTCTTATGTGAAGGCTCGATGTATGGCTGAGAAGTGGTGCCTAGCTTAGGTGGCTTATGTTCGCGATTCTAGTACGAAGGTTCCTTCCTGCATATCTACCAGGGATGCTGCCTGAAAGAGATATTGACTTCTGTATTGATTTAGCTCCAGACACTCAACCTATTTCTATTCCTCCATACCGTATGGCCCCACCAGAGTTAAAAGAATTGAAGGAGCAGTTGCAAGATTTTCTTGATAAGGGCTTCATTAGACCTAGTGCATTTCCCTGGGTGCGCTCGTGTTGTTCGTGAAGAAGAAATATGGGTCGATGAGGATGTGCATAGATTATAAGCTTCAGAATGGTTTGGACTTAAGAAAATAGCTGGTGAGAATCTGGTTTTGGTACAGCCTTTGATATCGCATTTGCGAGGTCAATGTTCGCATTTGCGAACTATTAAAATTCCTATCAGGTTCGCATTTGCGAACCACTTCCTCGCATTTGCGAAGGATGGCTGGGCAGCGAGGGTTCGCATTTGCAATCGATAGGTCGCATTTGCGAAAGGGCCACAGTTCGCATTAGCGAACAAATCATCGCAAATGCGATGATAGCAGAGATGGAGCTTCATCACAATTGCGAAGTATGTCTCGTATTTGCGGGGTTCGCAATTACGACATCTGCGCCTGGTCAAAAGCTGAGTTCGACGAGATTTTGGTGCATTCTTTCAAATTTTCAACCCTAAAGACCTTAGAGGCGATTTTTCCAAGAGCTTTTCTTTCTAATTTCTTTGGTAAGTGACCTTAATCTACTTTCTTTCAATTTTTCACTACATTTCATAAAATTTCAACCTTAAATCTAGGATTTCATGATAGAAATTGTGGATTTGGGTAGAATTAGAGATTTTTATAAAATTAGAATTTAGACCTCGAATTAAGGCCGGATTTCGAATTAAGTCGCATATCCGGGCTCGAGGTGAATGGATAATCTGGTTTTGGTCTGAATTTTGGGTTTTGACCAAGCGGGCCTGGGGGTTGACTTTTGTTGACTTTTTCAACAATGACCGAAATTGAATCCCTTTCATTCTTAAGTAGTTTCAAAAGCTTATTTTGAATCGTTTGATCAATAATTTGATAGGTTTGGTTGGTTTGGAGGCTTGTTCGAAAGGCAAGGCCGCGTTTGAACTTTGAATTGGTTGCGGAGTGAGGTAAGTGTCGGGTTTAACCTTGATTTGAGGGAATTAGGAATCATTGAGCTATTTTTTATGTGAAATTCATATGTGGTGATGTATATACGAGGTGACGAGTGTATATACACCGCCAAAGTACTTGCTTCCTTGCTTTTCGGTATTTCATTAACTATTTCCTTCCATGTCTTATCTGTTACATGCGTTAAATGTTTTCCATGTCTTTACTTGCTCATTGCCATTAATTATTCTAGTGTTAAAAATGTTAGATTCTCCCATGCTTCCTTGATTGACTGCTTCTTGTCTTAATTGAATTACTCGCATCCTTTGATTGTCATTTACTTGACTTTTCTTACCGCTTATTATTAATTATGGTGAATCCTCAATTTGGTACGAGATTTCATTTCTGGTTCAGCTCCATATTCGTTAAATCATAAAGGTTCTTGTGATTCGAGTTATTAAATTGATTGTACTCATTGATTTATTTATATTGATACGGTGGGATCGGATTGCGCGCCGCAACATGTGAAATAAGGGTGAAATGATATAGTGAAATAAGGGTGAATTATGATATTGATTCTGATTATATAGTGGGATCGGGTTGCGCGCCGCAATGTATATTTATTTACTATTGTTGATATTATTATGAATGAATAAGGGAGAATTCTGTTATACAGTGAGATCGGATTGCACGCCGCAACAATCTATATGCTTCTATTTCCACTACAAGAAAAAATGTCTTTAGCGAAGAAATATTCAGTCGTTAAAAGTCCTAATAGCGAAGGGTGGAATGTTAGTGCTTTTAGTAACAGGCTTTTGCATTCGTTAATTTTCTATTAACTATTACTATAATGATATATTAAAAACCTATATACACAGTTGCACCAGAAGCATAAGAAATAATCAATATTTCTATAAATTTCACAGTTAATTACAAGGAACAAAAACAAAACACTACCAAATATATACCTATCCAAAATGGACAATATACTTGCATCTCCTAACAAAACAGAAAATAGATTGTAGTATTACAAATAGAAAATCTTTTAAACAACTCTTAACAAACTCCTAACAAAAGAGAAAATAGGCTCCCCTTCTAGTTCAACTTGTTCTTTAGCTTTTTCAGTTGCTACTTGCTCTGCACTTTCTTCAAGGACAGCTTCTTCAAACTTTAGTTTTCTTATCTGTTAAGAGAACAAATTCTTATCAGTCCAATAAAAAATACTCCTAAACGCTTTTACTTTTTCTTCTTTTTCACTTTCCCGCAAAATGAAGATTAACCACCAAGAAGGCAAGCACAATTTTATAGGAATCATCTAAATATTCGAAAAGAGAACTAAATTGACTGAAACTTCCCAAAGAAAGCAATTATAATTTATCAAACAAGAGTATTCCAGGAACAATGAATATTAAACCAGAAGAAAGTTTGAAATGAAGACTAACCATAACTAGCTAATATTTTAATGGATACCATAACTAGCAAATAAAAAAAGTTGAGCATTTCCCAGTCAAAATTTAAACTTTCAAGTATTCTTTTATATTTAAACTAAATGTAAAAAGTTCTATTTGATCTACATATCCGAAAATGACCATAAACAGTGGAAAGCGTTACCATCATCTGAAAAAGTGGACTATAATGTTATCTCTCTCTCTCTCCGGATAAATGTATATTGGAAGTAAACCATCATCTGAAAAAGTTCTATTAAGTTCTAAGATAATATTCTCCACCTGAAATAGTAACATATGCCATTTGGTCACTAGCAGAATACTGATTTCAAGTATGTGTAGCTTAATCAATTGTCTGCCATGCTAAATTTAGAATTGTAGTTTTATTTACTAGTAGCTATCAAGAAGTTATATTTTTTGAGAAATTTTATTGGCACATATCTTCTGTTGATACTTTGGATCTCCTGTCCTTTGCGAAAGAGCAATAAATTCAACCTGCTCGGAGGCATAATCTGCCAGGATACTATTACCCTGAGAGCAAGGAGCACAATAACTTCACCAAATGTACGTTAGAACTACAGAGATGTAATTACATGTGTTCAATGTGTTTGTGCATAGAAAATTTACACATTATACATCACATGCCACGAGACTGAAATATTCAGATTTCAAAAGATAGTCATTGGTGTACAAAATAGGATTCTGTCCAAGTGTTCAGGAGGAAAAGAACAAGTAAAAAAAATATATAATCCAATAACTGCACAACAACCTCACGGTCATGCAGATCCCCCATATGACCCAAAGAAAAGAAATAAATAACAATTAAAAATAAGAGAGTTGGATTCCCACATGAGAAATTTCAGCAAAAGCATCACAAGATGGCTGGCTGCACAAACAAGTTGAGAGTATGTGAAAAAATTTTCTAGAAATGCAATTGCTAAGTTGCAAAGGACATATTTCTCCCAACAAGCTAGAGTGAGTTAGGAGAACGCATGGAGGAGATGCGAGAAAGAGAGAAAACAAGGGTTGGATCATAAGATCCTTTAAGTATATATAAGAAAATTAGAGCATTTAGTAACCTGCGATTCTTCATTCACACAGTCCCCCTTTTCGATACTCTTATCCTAATGATGTAGGGTAAAGCATCAAATGAATCGTCAAATACAATTTATAATAATGCCATATATCCTTTTCAGCATGAGATACATGAGTTATACTACAACGGAAATCAACTTGAATTTGATAGAGTTCAAAATTACCTATGTCCACCTAGGATTTTACAGATTCCCATGTGATAAGTTGATAATATTGTAAGGGATACATTTTATTGGAAAAACTCATGTGAGTCAGTAAATCAATTACTGAAACAAGCAAAAGCATTTGAAAAAATAAAAGGAACATGAGCTATTTCTGTCAAAGTACTCTCCACTAGCACTGCAAATACTCCACCTTTACACACTCCACTAGCACTATAATCACTTTACCTTCCTCTAAGTAGTGCAATGGTCATTCAATTATAAAAGCAGAATAAAATAGATTCAAAAAATAAATTTAAGAGTGTCCTTTCTCACTGGTCATTCAGTCTCCTCAGTCAATGAAGCATCACAATCAGCAGCTTAAAAAAAACCCCTTTTATCAGCCTCAAAATATATTTTCCAACACCTCTAGAATTAGAAGAAAGTCGAAAAATAATCCCAATTAAAAGGAATTAACGAAAAATTATTTACAACATGCTCATGACGAATAAAGTTCTTTCGATTTGATGATCCCTACAACTGTTCTTTTTGTTGCTAAATATGTTTGATTTGCTCACTGTACTTTCTTATAAGAAGACATACACTGAAAAATAGAGTAACCATGATTACTAGAGTCTTAAAATGAATGTAAAGCTTGCATTGCAGCTGCATTTATAATCTTATTATTTGGCTACTACTTGTTGTGCTCTTACCTTATTTACCTTTCGTGGAAACTTTTCGAGGTGTCAGTTTTCTAGCTCAAAAATTATTACTTATTGAAATTGGCTAACTGTGGTAGTATTTCAAATGCTATAGTATTTGACTGTTTCTAAGAAGGTGGGTCTTAGGATCTTTCAGTGTTGTATTCCATTATTATTTTCCTTTTCAGTGCTAATATTACTCTACTTTTCTGGTATCTATCATTTTTTATGTTGCCTCTACAAGGCAATTATGTTGCTATATGGTACAATATTTTGTAGTTTATCAAATTTTTGAGAAGATATTATATTTCTTTATTAAAATATGTATTACTGAAAATTAAAACACGTATTGCAAAAACTATTGACTGAAAAAAGTTCTTAGAGTGTATTTAGCACTTGGGATGAAAGATGCTAGTTCTAAGGTTTCAATATTCATTCAGGAAATTAGTCGAACAGCTGGTGAGAATTTCCATGGACAACTATAAAAGTGCAATCTACAATAGATCCCAAAACAATTAGGGCTATAAGTTATTATAACAATCCTTCACCAATTTAACACAACCATCACAGATAAATTTTCACAAATTAAATATCACAAGAAAAGTAAGAAGAACAGAGAAAAATTTCGAAATTGAACCAAGAACGCACCTGAAGCTCTCTTAGAATATCTCTGCGTTTCCTAATTTGTGGCGACAGAATCTCGAGCTTATTCCTATGCGGCCCAGTAAAATTTTGAAGCTAATTCTAAAGATTCTACACATAAGAAATAAAGAGAAATCATGAGAGAATATCAAATTACAAAAAACTGAAAGTAGAAAAAGTATATCACCAAGCACTACAATTTATCCACTGATTTCAAATAAAGATACGCCTTAGAGAATAAGAATTTTGAGTCTGCGAGATGAAGACTTGGCAGTTTCTATTGCTAGGTTGTTCTGTTTGATTCGAGGCTTTTTTTTCTTTATTATTTATTTATTTAGAGGGGTGGGCGTGGGAAAAATTAAGGGAAACATACGTTCTTTTTGGGATTAATTTTGTTTTAGTATTAACGAAGGGATATTATACTATTTAGCAACCGAATATTATTCTTCTGTTATTGCTGAACTAAAAATAGTGATTTAACGACAGGAAAAAATTTTGGTAGCCAAAAGTATATTTATAACGACGACTCAAATCCCTTCGTTAAAAAATGGTCGTTAAAAGTCAATATTCTTGTAGTGTTCCTTATCGGGTTGTGTTGGCTTCGATATTTTCATACGAGACTCTAAGGATTGGTATTTCTGGCATTTACTAGTTTTCTTTCGGAGGTTGAGTTATTTCATGTATCAACTGCTTTAATTCATCCTTGCAATTTCTTTTCTGCCATTATTTTATACTGCGTACAGGTTATTGTAGATGACCGCCCTAGCCTCGTCACTACTTAGTCGAGGTTAGGCTCGGCACTTACAGAGTACAGGGGGTCGGTTGTACTCATACTACACTCTGAACTTCTTTTGCAGATTTTGGAGTCGGTTCCAGCGGAGGTTCATAGACTGCTCGATTCGGCGATTGAGTGGAGACTTGAGGTACAACTGCCCGACGTCCGCAGCCCCTATAGTCCCCTTCTGTTATTTTTAGCTATGTACTTTCTTTCTTACAACTTTATATTTTTATTCAGACCTTTACGTGTACTATTCTCGAAGCTTGTACACTTGTGACACCAAGTCAAGAGTGGTATTAGATATTTCAGTTGATATGGTTTCCGCACTTTACCTTAGATTTATTTGCAGTTATTTCAGCTTCTTTATTATCATTTAATTTAAACTGTTAAAGACGAATAAATTATTCTAACGTTGGCTTGCCTAGCAAGTGAAATGTTAGGCGCTATCACGATCCCGAGGGTGAGATTTTCGGGTCGTGACAGATAGCAAGGGTTAATCCTTTTGTTTGCAAACTTCCAATTCCAGTAAGTGAGAAGGACTTCATCAATTCACTCTTTGAAAGTAGTTTAAGGATACAATGAAGCGACTAAGACTGCAAAAGCACTTAGATGGCTGCCGATAGTGTAATATGGGGTATTATTTTGCAGAACCCAAATTCTGTGTAATACTTACTTGCCAAAATGAGTGAATCTCCATTCTATACATTACCAGAAACTCCTGGGATGTTGTATTTCTTTCTATTAATATGAAATCAACGGTTATGTTCAAATATAACACGGTGTAATAGTTGCTTGTTCCTTTTGAATTATGTTAACTAGATTCAATTATTTTATATTTTGTTTTGCGAATAGCTACATTCAGTTATGCTGGGAAGACGAGTCTATTTGAAGAGATCTTCTTAGCAAAATGAGTAAATAAATAATGGATCTTCTTATTCATATGTATAATAATAAGTTTGATACATATTTTTTCTATATATGCAACCTGCATCCAAAAGAAAAGAAGAAACCATCCAGAGAAAATCATATACAGATTAGGAGTATAAGGCAAATTAGGTTAGATTCATCAAGACTATCCATAGACCAATTACCAAAAATCCTTGAAACAAGCAAATTAGGTTAAAATTTTGTTTCCTGGATATGCAAGTTCACAGCTTAATTAGCTTTATGGTCAATAGCTTAAAAAAAAACACAAAAACAGAAAAGCTTAACGATCTTAAAATGTAAATTTTGCTTTCCCACAACCCCTTTATGGTCAATTAGCCAATGATTTTCCCAAACAAATGAAGGGAAAAAAGAGTACAACATATGGTATATTTTACACATCACCTTCATTCCTTCATGGAGAGACCTTTGAATATGGAGAGACCAATGTAAGTAGCTGACTGATCAACAACTATGGAGAGACCTTTGAATATTTGTATTTCTGATCATTTTTTTGTTATTCTCAGAAAATACAGAAAATATATATATCAACTATTACTACTATATGTACATAAACTTCACTTTTAGTCACTAGAAAAGTTTTCTTTCTTTTTTTCATCTTTATACAAGTTTTGTCTATTTGCGTGCCCCTCAACTATTCATTACTTTCCGCCAGTACAAGTATCGAATAACTCTATATATCCACCAAGACTTAGTCACTAGAGAAGTTAAATAAGAAGAAAATAACCAAAGCAAGCATGGCGAGTCCCCATTCATTACCTTCTGCTATGGAAAGCATCAATTGAAAAGCCAAGAAGACCAAAATAAGAAACAACAATCCCCATTTCCTAAACTCATCTCCATCTCTCATCCGATAAACTCGGCTCGGCTGGTAATTGTAACCTTGAAGAGAAGGTGCATATATACTTGCCAGACATAGTAATACTACCAGTAAAAGAGGACCAAGAAGGATTTTGAAGACAGTGTAAGTTAGTAGAATACCAGCAAGAGATACTATGATTGATTGAGTAGTATAGTATACAAACAAAATGGCTAGAACAGGGACAAAAAAATAATAAGTAAAGTTTATATCCTCTGTATCAAGGGCTAATGAGAATCTCTCAGTTATGTTTTGGCCATGGAGGAGTAATCCTAGACTGAGTACAAGAAGCAGAGGGACTAATGGAGAAGGCCCTTTAACCATATTCTCTACAAAGGAAAATGGCTGTTTTGGGCGATGTCATAAGTTAGTAACTTCTTTCTGCAATAAAATAGAAATGGACTTGAGTGTACAATTCAAGAACTGGATTAAAGTAATGGGGTTGGAGTAGGGTGGTTATGAATGAAGCTATATATGCAAAGGGGAATAGGCTGTTATTAATTAGTTGCTTAACTTTTTGGTTTTGTTCACCAACTTGGCTTGTTTGGTATTGCTACTTTCACCTAGGTTTATGACATTATTAGCAAACGCTTGCATATACAATGAAGGAAAATATAAATAACATAGCACAAGAAAGACATGATCTTGGACATTGTTACTGCGTAAGAAAATTAGATTTACATTTCCACCTTGCTTCTATTCAAATTGTAACTGGTCAAATGAGATGATAATTTCTCCAGGGGGGGTTTAATTTCTAATAAAAACGAAATTTACTTTTGGGTAAAAAGGGAGTCAAATATTTTATTCGACCTATTTTCCTTTGAGATCTTGTTTCGCATCTTAATCCTTTAAAGGGGTAACATTTTTCACTTCAAACCTTGCTTCAATAGCATCAAGAGTCATTGCGTCGACTTCTAATCCTCCACGATTGAATGCCAAGTAGGAGACTTTTAATTGGTCATTATGACATCTACATAGCTGGTGAAATTGTCAACTGTAGCGGTAGGCTTGCATTACTGTATCTATTTGGTCCATATACCGAAACTAATAACATTTCAGGATTATATATGTATACGGTCAAAATCGATTAGTCCGTCGTACGGACTAGTCGATATGATAATACTTCGATCGAAGGGTATTTGCATAATGTCAGGTCGAGTTCCGAAGTAAAGACGTCAAGGTTCGAGCTCTAAGATAGATCAATGACAAGCTCGGTATCATTATCGAGCTCATATCCAAATCGAACTACAAGGCGAAGCGAAATTATTGAAGATGCATAGACCGACCAATACCAACCCCGAATATCTAGACTCCGAGTCAGAATCGAGCTCGAGTCTAGGCCGGGGGCTTGAGTCAATACCGAGCTCGAGTCAGTATCGAGCTCACAGACAAGAGCCGTTGCAACCGCACTAGGGGAGAGAATCCTTGCGGGAATTAGGAAAAAACTAATTCATCATGGGTTCCCTACTATGTATTTTTTATTATATCCAAAGTAGGATCCCTCTACTATAAAGAGGATGATTGTTGTAAGTATGGGGGATGGAGACATTGGAACAAAAAGACTACTTCTCATATTGAAAGATTAACTCCTTAAGCTCATTTTACTTTATCTTATCTAGTTCATTCATTCTTCTTTCCCACCATTTTTATCTTTCGTTCTTATAATCAAGAATATACATATTCCTATTTCTCTATACGATTTATGTCAAGTTATATCACTTATCCTTCGAACTACTACAAATTCAACTCTATCCGATTTTTCGGGTAAACAGTTTAGCGCTCACCGTGGGGCAAAGGATAACAGTAGTTGTTTGATATGCAACACACACCAGTTTACGCTCGTCTTTTGAGAGTATCTTTGACTTCGAATTAGCAATGACAAACCCTCGATTAATGGCTTTACCTATCGATAACGAAGCCGGCCTTCAAGATGAAACCAACAACTTGATGTCCAGGGCCGAAAGGTCGCTTATAGATGTCATTGAAGCTCGAGTCGAAGTGCCTGAAGCTCGAATCGAAGTACCACTAGACGTCAATTCACATGTGGCCTTTGAGGCAAACCAACGTTCCGAACCTGAAAATAGCATTCATGGCGGTACTCGATCTGCAGCTCGAGACACCCATAACATAGAGGAGAACGGAGTCAGCTTGCGTATGATCTTTGAAATGTTGCAAGCCCAACAAGTAGCGATAACTTAGTTGCAGAGCCAAACCCAGCTACCGAGTAGGCCGGAGCCCAGTCCACCTCGAGAAATTGCCCATAGAATGGAGCCGACCATAGTGAGGTCAAACGAGCAAGGATCGGGGACTACTCCTGAAATTGCTAAAATACTTGAGGAGCTCACAAAGCGAATCGAAGCCAACGATAAAAAGGTAGAAACATATAATTTTAGGGTCGACCAAATCCCGGGGGCTCCACCAATGATAAAAGGGTTGAATTCCAAAAAATTCATACAAAATCCTTTTCCCTCGAGTGCAGCCCCAAAACCAATCCCCAAAAAATTTCGTATGCCCGAAATCCCCAAATATAATGGTACGACCGACCCCAATGAACACGTCACCTCTTACACATGTGCTATCAAGGGCAACGATTTAGAAGACGATGAAATTGAATTCGTGTTGTTGAAAACATTCGGAGAGAGCCTCTCAAAGAGGGCGATGATTTGGTATCACAACCTGTCACCAAATTCCATCGACTCATTTGCCATGTTAGAGGATTCGTTTGTAAAGTCACACGTCGGTGCCATAAAGATTGCAACAAGGAAATCAGACCTTTTCAAAGTAAAACAAAGGGATAGTGAAATGCTGAGGGAGTTCGTGTCCCGATTCCAAATGGAACGCATGGAATTACCACCGGTTA